GACTTGGAATACTTCTTTCCAGCCCCTTCTTGCCTGTAAGGTCTCTTTTGAGAAATCCACTGACAGTCTGATGGGAACTTCTTTGTAGGTGACTGTCCCCTTAGCTCTTGCTGCTTCTAGGATTCTCTCCTTCATTTGAATCTTGGCTAATGTAATGATGATATGCCTTGGGGTGTTCCTTCTTGGGTCCAACTTCTTTGGGACTCTCTGAGCTTCCTGGATTTCCTGGAAGTCTATTGCCTTTTCCAGATTGGGGAAATTCTCCTTTATTATTTGTTCAAATAAGTTTTCCACTGGTGGCTGTGCCTTTCCCCCTTCTGGTACCCCTATAATTCGGATGTTGGAGTGTTTAAAGATGTCCTGGAGGTTCCTAAGACTCTCCTCATTTTTTTTGAATTCTTGCTTCTTGACTCTTTTCTGTTTGGCCATTATTTGCTTTCTTCTGGTCCACTCCATTGATTTGAGTCCCAGTTTCCTTTTCATTGCTATTGGTTTCCTGTGCAATTCCATTCATTTCAATTAGTTTCACCTTCATATGTTTCTCTAATTTGTGGCTATAATCAACCAGTTCTGTGAGGATCCTGATCACCAGTGTTTTAAACTGTGCGTCTGAGAGTTTGGCTATTTCTTTGTCACTTAGAGTTATGGGCTCTGGGGCTTTGAGATCTTCTTGAGCCATTTTTGGTTTGTTTGCACTTGTTAAGTATGAGGAGCGGAACCTTGGTTGTTCACCAGGGCGGGGCGACCCAGGGTGCTGGTTTGTGATGATGTATGTGGGGGCGTGGTCAGAGCGGGGAAATGGCATCCCCCTGTGCTGTTTGGCACCACTGGGTGTAGAGCAGAGCCTTAGGTGGTTCACCTGGGCAGGACCACTCAGGTCGCTGGGTTATGACACTGTATGTGGAGGCGGGGTCAGAGCGGGGAAATGGTGGCCCCCTCTGCTGCTGGTCACCACTGGGGCCTGCTGGGTCCCATCTAATTGCCCACTCCCTCGCTTGTCTATCTATGCAGGAATGTGCGACCACAGTCAACCCGCAGCCCTGCTCCCTTGCTATTTCCCCTTGGTCGCTCGGTGGATCTCTCACTAGGTCCAACCCTGCGCCTGGGTTCTGCGTGCCTGAGTCCGACTGCTGGAGTTTTCCTGTGCAACCCTGCTCCGCCAGCTGCTGGTTTCACCCCTCTTACCCGTCAGGCTGAAGAATTTGTTGTTATCAGACTTCCAAAAAGTTCAGTTTTCTGTGTTCTGGCTATGTTTTCTGTTGCTAATATTTAGTTGTCTCTAAACTTGGTTGTGTGAGAAAGCACGACATCTCCACCTATGCCTCCATCTTGGTGGAAGTCTACCTTTAACTTTTGATGTTTTCATTGTATTATGTCTTGGTGTGGATATCCAAGATTGTTTCTATATGTTAGGTGAAACAGCTACCCCTCTGTCTTGAAGTGGCCTTGTGCAGGTGATAAAATTCATCATTCAACATTTTTTTTTAGCTGTTGGTTATCTCTCCAAGCTTTTTGATGGTCTAAACAGCTTGATTTATTCTTAATAGGTCCCCTTTATTGAAAATGTGCCAAGCAAGACTTGTCAGTATTCCAAGGGGAGGAATCTCATTTAGTGCATAGTTCCAGGCTGAGTGGAAGCTAGACCCTCAGGCAACAGCTCACTTCTGTGGGACTTCAATCAGAAACCCTCTAGTCTCCAGACCAGATCTGGAGGTATCCCCTGGGTGCTGGTTGCAAAAACTGGGCTCCAGATGAGTCTGTAAGCTCCTTTCTGGGAGGTATCATCAAACTGTAGCAAGGCCAAGGTGATGTTCAATATGGTATCTCCCTGCACTCCCTAGGAAATATGGTATGTTCCCTAGGGGCACCTCTGTAGCCTCTAGATGTGTGGAAGCAGGAAGCCTTTTCCTCAGGCTGAAGCTCCAGAGTAAGTCAATAAGCTTTTTTCACAGGGAGATTTGGGAGTGTTTCAGTCTGCTGTTTGGTAGCCTGGCAAGAACAGTCTTCCTGATTATTACTATTCTGTGAAGCCTGGGGGCCCCAGCCCCATCAGCCACCAGGGGCAGGTGATCAAGGGCACCTCATATGCCCACTGATTTTAGCAAAGTAGCTAGAGAGTGCAGTGGGTGGGGTAAACTTGCAGTCTCCAGAAAGACAGCAGAATAATGCCTTGACTACACACACCCTCAGGTTTCAGTGATGCAGCTGGAGTGTCCCCTCTCCTGCATGCTAGCTTCAGGGAGGAAGCCATAGAATGTTGTAATCACTTGTGCTCTCAGGCGCCAGCCAGGGAGTGGGGAAGTGCTGCAATTGCCCTTACCCACCAACGCTGGCAAGGGAGCAGGAGAATGCTACAACAATCTGTATGCTCTGGTTTCAGCAAGGCAGTGGGAAAGTGTCACAACCACACATCCCCATTTGCCCTAGCAAAGCAGTGAGAGGGTATCATGTCTCAGCTTGCCTGCCTGTGTCAGGAGGGCAGGTGGAGAGTATAAAAAATGGCATCTACCAGCACCTTTGTCTCAGAAGAGTATCAACTGTGCCCTGGTTCAGCAGATGCTTTAAGTTTAACAAATGAGTCTCCTTCACATGTAGCCTAAGTGCTTTTCAAACATCTGGTTTTGCACTGGGTCCTGGGGAGAGTGAGACCACAGGTAAGTCCCCTGAAAGGACAATCTCACTTCCCTATAATTCTTTGGGCCTCTTGGACATCAGCCCCATTGGTTTTCTAAGCCAGATATTTTGGAGCTCATCTCTTCATTGCAGATCCCAAGGGTGGGGGCCTGATGAGGGGCAGAAACCCATTGCTCCTCTAACAGTGTGGAGACACCACACTGTTGGGGTTTTTTGGGCAACAGCATGTCTCTGCCTCTCCTACCCATCTTGATGTGGCTCTTTTATCTTTTGTCATGGAGGAGCAGTTTGTCTACTTTTCAGATCTTTTTCAGAGGGAAATCATCCATAGATAGCTGTAGGTTTGGTGTGTCCTTGGGAGGAGGTGAGTTCAGCATCTTGGGCCCCTCTATTTCTTCCTGGGGTTTTTTTTGTCCTCACATAAGAATAAGATTATTGATTTTTTGGAGTGAGAGGAAGTGAGACAGAAAGAGAAACATCAATCAGTTGCCGCCTGTACGTGCTCCAACCTGGGATCAAACCTGTCACCTTTTGATGTATAGGACAATGCTCCAACCAAATGAGCCACCCAGCCAGGGTTCTTGTTGTTTTTTTCCCCTTTCTAAAACTCAGCACTTAGGAGACAATAGGCAACTACCAGTGGTTTGTGGAACACATTTTGAGAAATAATACTCTAAAGTCACATTCTTATAATATCTAGCTTGGAGCCCTACTTGAGGCTGTTGTATGATAATCGGCCCTTCTGGAGACTCCAGAGCTTCAGAGCACAAAAGGAGTTTGGATCCTTAGATGGTGGATCTGGGTGGAGGTAAAGCACCATTTTCTAGCATTTCCTCAAATCACGTGATCGACTGCTTCCCTTTCCTTTTTTTCTAGTTAAAATATCCACATGGCTTGAGCACCTTTGGGGTGGTAGCAACAGAGGGATCTCTCCAGGGCAGGGATGTATTGACTTCCAGCTCAGTGCCAGGAACTACTTAAAGCTTTATGCCAAGATGGTTGACACAATAGTAAGAATAGCCTTATTGGAGGCAGCAGGTCCATGATATAAGACTTCAAATTGCCCTCCAATCACTTACTATATGCAAACAATGTCAACACATCTCAGATCTGTAAGAAACATCTGTGTATTGGTTCACTGCAGTGACCTTTCTAGCTGGAAGAGTAGCCACTGAGGGCTGCTCCTTCTCCTTGCCAACCCCTTCCCAACAGCTCTATCATTTCCCATCAGTGACACCCCTGAGAATGAAGCGAGTAAATTAAGAGGTCAGGTTATATAGGATAAGTGGAAGCAGTCTGGCTTCCCCACCCAGGTGTCTGGGTAACTAAGGTAAGTAATGTTCCCATAGCCTTGGAGGGGCCTGATAACCAGTGTTCTCACAGCCTTGCAGTTGGGTCCAATAAACTGTTCCCATAACATGAAGTGGGCTCACATGCACAGAATTATGTTATGTTCTGTAATGTTCTGGCAGTTTTCTGGACTTTTCCCCCTCTAGTACTTAAACAGATAGGGACTCCCTGCTGGAGGTGATAATTATGAGAGACATGCAAGGGGACAAGTGCCACTATGGGTGTCATGCTGGGGAGTAAGAGCCATGACATAAGACATGCAGATAGACACGTAGCTTGCAGCATGCATGGCTCACCCACCCATGAATAAGGGAATGTCAGACATCCCAAAGACTCCATGAATATTATTCTGTCTGCACAAATATCATGGATCTGCCCAGCCTTGGAGGGTCGCAACACAGATTACCACCAATAAGGGATGTTTATCACCCCTAATCTGTTTAACTGTCTTATCCTGGCCCCAGGCTTCAGGGCTGACCAGGGTTTACCATGATTGGGGAACATCATGGGTGTCATTTCCAGGACTCACATCCACACTGAACATTAATTTTAGACTTTTGACATGTTTCCCCATAAAGGCACATACATCTTTTTGTGCAATGTGTTACTTTGTTAATGCAAATATTTAAAGTGCACAATTTTTATAATCATGTTCCAGCATTTATTAATTTGCTATCTTTAGACCCTCAAAAAGTGGAAGTGGCTTCAGCCTCTTGTAATCTCTGAGAGATCCTGAAGCTGGGTGAGCCAAGGTAGCATTGGGGCAACGCCCCTCCTGGTGGAGGGGGCCACTCTTCCCTCATGGCAAGCAATGCCAACCAATGCTGAAAGCCATGTTTACAAATTGTAATGTGGAGGCATTTTATTCCCAACTCTATTTGGGGAATTTGGACTGAGATTCCCAAGATAAGGCTAAGAGCTGGTACTGACAGTATTTTACTAGAAATGAGGGATGACAGAAATGCACAGAACATCTCATCCTATGTGCTTCAAAGTCCACCTTCTAGAAATGGAACTGGACTGAATAGTTCAAATTTTATCCTGTGATTAATGGGGAGCCACTGAAGATGGTTGAGGATGAGTGGTTTGTTCAATACTGTATTTTAGAAAGATCATTGGTGGCTAGTGGAGGAAAGGAGAATAGAGCCTGGGACTACTGTCCATGTATATCCAGGTAGGAATTTCAAGTCAAGTACTCTAGGTGCAAGAGGTGGAGGGGCATGGCAAGGATTCTCTCCTAGAGTTTCCAGTTGGAACCTTGACAAGACAAATGTCCCTTTGCAGGCAAAGACACTTTGCAAATAAATTGTATCCTCACAAAGAGAGGAAAGCAGCCTGATCCCAGACTTCCTCATATGGAACATCTTTCTCCTCTCATGCCTTATACGGGTGAGAGTAAAAGGGTCAGGAAATCTCTTGGGGCAGAGCAGGTCCTAAAGAGAATAGGAGGTAGTTTTTATTGGCCACCTTGGGGATCTGATGTCCCATTTTCTGGGGCAGCTTGTCCACTTGCTTCCTCCATCATCTCTTTGTACTGACGTCTGAAGAAGCCAACCTGTAGGGGAGGAAGGAGAGAAAAACCAGGAACTCCAGTGGAAGAGGGAAAAAGAGATTATGGGGAAGGGGAGGGATTCACCATTTCTGGAACCCCTACTGTGTTCAACAGGTACAGTAATAACTTCATACACATTGTGACATTTAGACTTTACACAGTTCTGTGAGCTGGGTAGAATTATCTTAAGAACAAGGAACCAAGACCTAGTGTAGACCAAGCACCTGCCTACAGTCACAGAATGAATCTGTGGTAGCGTCAATACCAAACCCAGGGCAGTGCTATTTTATGTTTTAATTTGCTGTCAAGGGAAACATGCAGAAAATCAGAGAAGAGCAGGAAAGAAAGGAAGACAGACTACAGGAGGCCTGAGAATCATATAGGAAGCACAAACATGGGGGGCAGTTAGGGACTGCTGATGTCATAGCTGATCTTTCACATGCAGGCCCCTAGCAAAAATGTGTGCACAATTCCAAGGCAAGCTTTCTTATACCACAGAGAGTGAAATCAAATACTGGTGGTAGGAAGAGTAGGATGAAAACTCACCTTGTACAGTATGGCTGTGAAGAGAGCCAGCAGCAGCAGCCCTCCCACAGAGCTGCCCACAATGAGGAGTGTGGGGTTGTGGACATCATGCTTCTCCAACACCATCTCCATCTGGAGCAGAGGTGACCCCATTAGAAAATATCAGGACTCTGGCAGCCTCAGGCTCTACCTAGGTTCTCTAACATGTAATTTCTCCCCTGCTTTCCCAAGCCAAACTCCAGAGGATGACATAAAAAGGCACTCATAGGTTTAGGGACAACTGTCTCACCTAGGGACCTTCACCCTTCCTCTCTCTCGGCTTCCAAGCCCCCAAACCAGCAACACAGATTTAACATCAGAAGCCCTCTCACCAACCAGGCTACTGTCTACCACAGTCGCTACCTGGGCTCTCAAAAACGCCTCCTGTCCTGGAAGCTGGGAATACACAGATCTGTTGAATGTGATTGCAGCCACACTCACGACTGACACCTTCTTCTGCAACGTCTGTAAAAAAGAGCAGGAGAGCTGGGGAACTAGCTCTGGGGGAAGCTCAGAGTTAGAGAAATGTCCTAGCTTGATGGGGGATGAGCACAGACATAACAGGTACCACCTGAGTCTGGGGGTACGACTATGCTGTTGGGCCTACACACCTGGCTGACCCAGCTGAAGCTGAGGTTTCCCATCAGGATGAAGTCGAGCTCCTCCCTGGATGCCAAAGGAGGGGATGTCACAGCGGAACCTCAGGCAGTCAGCAATGGAGCAGTCCTAGGGACCGAGAAATAGCAACAGGCCAGAGAGGTGGGTTTGAAGGCAGAGGGCAGCATTAAACTGTCTGGGTTATGGGAGCAGCCGCATCTGAATGTAGGACAAGTGTTCAGCAGACATCCATCTGAATGTCACATGGACTCCTGAGTTAGATTTCTCTGAGGTGTGGCTTAAAGTGGGGGATGGCCAGAGCCCTCCTCACCAGCACATGATTCTTCTGAATGTGGGTGAGGAAGTTGGACTCTGTGGGCACCATTTTCTCAGCAGAACACTGAACAGATGGGTTCTGTCAAGACACAGAGAGCAAGCATCTCAGTGGGGACATAGGAGAGTCATGAGGGTCACAAGAAATCCAGGTAAAGGGGTTTAGGGAAGGAGCCATGAGCAGTCCTTGAGTACCTGGGGGTGGAGGATCTTCAAATCCGTCCACACAGTCACCTGGTTCAGCTCCACAGGCACCAAGAAGCTGATGCTGACAGGCAGGTCCCTCTGTCCCAGGTTGTTTACCTGCACAGAGAGCAGTGAGGGCAAAGACCATGCCAAATGCCACATCCCTCTCCCATCTCAGGATTCTGGGCCAGGGCCCCAGCCCATGCTCCAGAGTTGTCATCTCTCTCGACACACCATGCTCTTACTTGCCTGGTATCTGTGCTGGGCCAGGCTGCTTCCCTTCTCCTCAGAGGCAGAGAAGTTGAGATACTTGGTGGATTTCTCATGGCTGGGAAGAGAAGATGCATGGGTGGATTTGAAGCCTATAGGGGCCTCTTGAGGAGGCTCTGACTGAGAGCATGACAGGACAGGTGGTCATGGGGCCTTGGGGTACCTTGAGATGAGGTCTGTGTCTGACTTGGGGTACTGGGAAGATTTAGGGAGCAGGGCTGAGCTTCAAGCTGGGTGCAAGGTACTTGCAGAAGCTGCCCACAGAGGAAACTGCCAGCTGGGGTTGGGCAGGGTTGCAGTAAAAGGGACAGAGACTTGTGCCACTGACTCACTGGGGGAGTGGCAGCCAGGGCCTGCCCACCCTCTCTGTGCCTGCTCTCCTTCCAGGCCTTCATGGGCATGGAGGGAGTGGCTGGGCATGTGGGACATAGCACAGGTTTGGGGAGACTCAGGCTGATACTGTTGACAAATGTCTGCTGGTCACTGCACCTGTCTGGTCTCCCAGGGGCCTTCCTTGGGGCCCTTCTCTGCTGTTTCCTTGACTTTTCTGTACCTGGGGCTTAGAGGAGAGGAAGGGAGAGCCCACAGCAGGCTCTTTGCTGTATCTCAGTGTAAGAACGCCTCCTCAGGCCTGCCAAGGCCTGTGCCTGGAGACCCAGTGGCCAACATGGCCCCTTATATGGGTGGCTGATTCCACCTCTGGCCCTGCTCATTCCCTGGGCCCCCTGTCCTTTGCCTGGCAATCCAAAGCCTAGACCACCACTCCTATTCTGAAGTCACATCTGGCTCTGCCAAAGGGCTCCCCAAGATGCCCAGGCTCGTCCTGGGTGCCCCTCTGAATGCGCCTTCCCATAGAGTCACACCTGTAGAGGACAGTTGAGCTGCAGGGCCACACATGCCTGGACACGGTGTGCTCTCCCTGTGAGGGCCCTGCAAGGTGTGCGAACCCCAGTGCAAGCTCCAGGAAACAGGCTCAGAGCATGCAACTGGCTGGGCTGCCGAGAGACCTCAATGTGTAGGTGTGCATGACAGTGTGAAGCTCTGGGCAGGAGGATATCCAACAAGGCACAGGTGTGCAAATAGTGGGGGAATATACCCAGGCCAAGTCACGGGGGCCTATTACATGTCGGGAGTGCATACATCCCACAAGGGCAGGGGGTTTATGTCTGGTTTAGATTACACATAATAGATAGAGGATCAATAAGTCTTTGCTGATGTCAAATACATTCATGGAAAGCAACTAAGGCACTGTGCCTGAAACATAGCAAATACGAGGAAGGCGTCTGTGCACGCACTTGACTCTCAGTTTCAAACACCTCAGCTACCTCTCATCCACCTGTCCTGGCAGCATCTTAAGCTCTTCCTTGACACCCCACCTCTGAAGCAGGCACATTATTTCTCCCTATCCTCCCAAAGGAGACTGGGAAAGGGAGGAGGAGTGGCTGCAAAAGCCCTGCAAGTTGTAAATCTGTTCTTTGTGATGAAGAACTGTCCCACCCAAATGCCAAGGGCCAAGTGCAAAGCCACAGAACCCTTCAATGTTTAGCTGAGGCCTCCCCTGACAGGAGGCTTTACCCACCTCAGGCTGAAGAATAACCTTGCTCCCCAATAAGGCTGTAAAAACCTTGAAGACAGAGACATCTCTCATATCTCTTGAGGAATCCAGGACAATCTTGGGGCTTTGGAGAAAGGATTCTGAGAACTGTAACCTCTATTAAATGTAGAGTGTAACGATAACATCACTCTTCTTATTGTCACAGCCAGCCCTCAATAACTCTCAATGATACTAAACTTATCACTTAATGATTGAAAGGGTAGTGATAAAACCTAAATGTCCCAGACGTTCAAGAGCTTCAGGGATGGAAAATCTCCCTGAGCCCCATCAGAATGATGGAGAAAACCCTTTTCAGGTCTTGGTGTGGCACCTGCTGATCACGGTGTAGACAGCATACTTCACCGGGATCTCCAGCTGGAAGGCAGTCTTGCTGGTCCTGGGGGTGTTATTCTCACTGGAGAAAGAGGAGGGGCCATTGCCAAGTGCTCCTGAAGAGGAGGCTGGGCTCCAGTGGCTGTTGCCCAAGAGGGGCCTGCTCACCTGGCCCTGCTCACCTGCTCACATTGGCCATTAGAAGCAGGCGGTCTCCCAGCATGGCCTTGGGGGAGACGTCAAAGGTGGCTATGAAGGTGATCTGAGGAAGAGGCAGGCAGGGGGGTTGAAAGTGTGGAGGTCACGAAGCAGTGAGACTGGGTGGAGGCAGGGAAGTGGGACAGAAAGCTGACCTGAGCACCCTCTCGGAAGATAAGGTGTTTGATGCTGCAGTGGGTGCTCCAGCTGTCCTGGCCTCTGGCTGGGGCGCTGTCACAGGTCAGGTGCAGGGAGCGTGACTGCAGCTGGCTCTAAGTGAAGGGAGGTGAAAATAGGCAGGTGAGCATTTGTCAGTGTTCCAAAGACACTCCATAAAGTAGTGACAGTTTCCTGGAATCTACCCTGAGGTCATGTTTTCAAAAAATCCTTAGAACTTAGACACTATCTGGTCAAACTTCTTCCTAATGTAGAGATTTCAGATTTATTAAAGTTTCCCCTTTTTATTTATTGTTATGTTCAAAAGATTTTCTATTATGGGAATGTTTAAACATACTAAAAAGTAGAGAGGCTAGAAATCAACCCCTCTGTACCTATCCCTCAGCTTAAATTACCAACATTTTCTACTTTTGTTTTAATTCATCTTTTTGGAAGAGGGGAAGGGAAGGAGAAAGAGAGGGAGAGAAACAGTGCCATGAGACAGAAGCATCAGTCTGATGCCTCTCACACCCACCCTGACTGGGGACCGAACCCAGAACCCAGGCATGTTCACTGACCAGGAAGCAAACCAGTGACCTTTTGCTTTGTAGGATGACACCTGACCGACTGAGCCACACTGGTCGGGGCTCTACTTTTGTTTTATTCGGCTGTTCTCCACTTTTTTTTCTGGACAATTTAAAGCACATTTTGAATATTGCACTGTTTCATTCAGAAATACTTCCACATAATACCATCAACAGATAAGGGCATTTTCGACATAACCACGAGACTCTACAGATCACATGCAGCAAAATTAGCAATAACTCCTTAACATCAGCTAATATCCAGGTCATGTTCAATCTTCTGTATTTTGTCTTCAAAACTGTTATTTTACAGCTCATTGTTGAAGTAAATATCCAACAAAGTTGCACATATTGCATTTGGTCGATATGTCTAGAAGTACCTTCAGTGATAGGGCACTCACCCCTCATGCAGCTGGGCCTTGCCACTTCTAGTGCATTCCTTCAAAGGTTAATCAGAATATGATCCCTTTGGTAGTACTAGCCAAAGAGAGACGTAAGAGGCCAACCAACTGAATGTAATGTGTAGACCTCATTTATATGCTGGTTCAAATAAATCAGGTGTAAAAGATACTTTTGAATCAATTAGAGAAAGTTTATTATGGTCTAAATACCAAGAAATCATTCATTTCATTGGGTGTGATATTGGCATTGGGTCATGTAGGATGTGGGGACTGTCCAGAACCGTGGGGTGAAATAGGGAGGACTGACGTGATATCTGGAGTTTGTTTCAAAATACTTGACCACGAAGGGGGAAAAGCCAGATGAAATATACATAGCAAAACATTGATAACTGATGAATGACTCTGGGAAACAAGTTTTGATGTACTCTCTACTTTTGAAAATGTTTAACATTTTCATAGAATTTTTGTTAAAAATCTGTTTCATTTTGAGCGCCATGGTCCTAGTCCTGTCTTCTAAGGCAGGGATCACTAAAGAATAGCCCACCGCCAATTTTTTACAGGTACAGTTTCATTGGAATGCAGCCATGCTCATTCATTTACAAATTGTTAATGGTGGCTTTCACTCTACAGCAGCAGAGCTGAGTAGATGTGAAAGACACTGTGTGGCCCACAAAGCTGAAATATTTATTTTCTAGCCTGTAATAGAAAAGGTATGCCAAGACATGAGCTAGACTCACGGGGGTGTCCAACCTATGGCCCTCTGGCCCCAAGCAGACCAGAATGAATGGAGGTGAATGTGGCCCAACACAGAATCATAAATTTACTTAAAACACTATGAGATTTTTTTTGTGATTATGTATCAAATGTATTTAATGTGTGGCCCAAGACAACTCTTCTTCTGGTGTGGCACAGAGACACTGAAAGATTGATCGCCCCTGCTAGAGTAACTGATACATTTAATGAGACAGTGTTTTAAAATAATTGGACTTCCGCCAAGATAGAGGCATAGGTGGAAACGCCATGCCTTCTCACACAACCAAGTTTAGAGACAACAAAATATCAGCAATAGAAAACACAACCAGAACACAGAAAATTGAACTTTTCGGAAGTCTGATAACAATGAATTCTTTAGCCGGACCAGTAAGAGGGGTGAAACCAGCAGCTGGCAGAGCAGGGTTGCACAGGAAAACTAGGTCAGACGGACTCAAGTGCGCGGATCCCAGGCATGTGGTTGCAAAGGGCTGACCCAGTGAGCGACCTAGTGAGCGCAACCCAGTGAGCAACCAGCAGACCCGGCAAGGGTGAAGGGCGGCAAGTTGACTGTGCTGGCGCATTCCTGTGCAGATAGACTGACGAGGCAGTGGGCAGTGAGACAGGACCAAGCCGGTCCCAGCTACGGGAGGCAGCAGAGGAGGCCGCCATTTCCTGGCTCTGACCCTGCCCCCACATACAGCTTCACAACCCAGCGACCCCACCCTGGAGGCCCCACCCCGCCCCTAAGGCTCCACTGCTCATACTTAATGGGCGTGAACAGACCAAAAATGGCTCAAGAAGATCTCAAAGCCCCAGAGCCCATAAATCTAAGTGACGAAGAAATAGCCAAACTTTCAGATGCACATTTCAAAACACTGGTGATCAAGATGCTCACAGAACTGGTTGATTTTAGTCACAAATAGAGGAACATATGAAGGCTAAACTAATTGAAATGAAGGGAAATACACAGGAACCCAATAGTAATGGAAAGAAAACTGGGACTCAAATCAATGGAGTGGACCAGAAGGAGGATAAAAATGACCAAACAGAAAAGAATGAAGAAACAAGAATTCAAAAAAATGAGGAGAGACTTAGGAACCTTCAGGACTTCTTTAAATGCTCCAACATCTGAATTATAGTGGTACCAGAAGGGGAAAAGGAACAGCCACCAGTGGAAACCTTATTTGAATAAATAATAACAGAGAATTTCCCCAATCTGGAAAAGGCAATAGACTTCCAGGAAATCCAGGAAACTCAGAGAGTCCCAAAGAAGTTGGACCCAAGAAGAAACGCACCAAGGTACATCATCATTACATTAGCCAAGATTAAAATGAAAGAGAGAATCCTAGAAGCAGCAAGAGCTAAGGAGACAGTCACCTACAAAGGAGTTACCATCAGACTGTCAGTGGATTTCTCAAAAGAGACCTTACAGGCAAGAAGGGGCTGGAAAGAGGTTTCCAAGTCATGAAAACCAAAGACCTACAACCAAGATTGCTCTATCCAGCAAAACTTTCATTTAGAATGGAAGGACAGATAAAATACTTCTCAGATCAGATCAGATTCAAGGAGTTCATCATCACCAAGCCCTTATTATATGAAATGTCAAAGGGACTTATCTAAGAAAAAGAAGATAAAAAATATGAACAGTGAAAAGACAGCAAACTCACAGTTATTAACAACCACATCTAAAACAAAAGCAAGCTAAAAGGACAGCTAGATCAGGAGCAGAACCATAGAAATGAAGATCTCATGGAGGGTTAGCAACAGGGGAGTGGGAGGAGAAGGGGGGAGAAGGTACAGAAAATAAGTAGCATAGACGGTAGGTGGAAAATAGGTAGGGGGAGGGCAAGAATAGTATGTGAAATATAGAATCCAAAGAACTTGAGACACATGGTCATAAACTTAAGGGGGGGAGGGGTAGGGCTGGTGGGACGCAGGGTGGAGGGAAACGAAGGGGGGAAATAGAACAACTGTAATGGCATAATCAATAAAATAAAAATTAAAAATAAATAAATAAAATAAAATAATTGAAGGCCAAGATATGTTTTTCTTTAAAAGAAGAATATTGATATGATGTAGAATACAAGGAAATTTAAGGCAGGGTCCCCTCTCTCTCCACATCAACAGCTTCCTGGGAGCTCCTTCCTGATGGTCAGTGTGCTTAAAAATGTGTTGCCCAGAATTGAACACAACATAAGCTGAAGCAAGCCCTGGATAGCACAACCCTATCTGTCCAACCAGATCGGCCCAGACCTCTTGCTCTATGAGAAGCTGCTAAGCAATGACAACCCCAGCCAGAGCTTTTACCCAGCACAGGAGTCTCTGCTGATCGACAGCCATAAGATACTGCCTTCCCCAGGGGCAATAATACCTGGTTCCTTGTCACACGTCGATATGACAGCCCTGGTGGGTAGGAGAAGGTAACTGTGGTTCCATAGGAGTCCTCCCCATCATTCCACACTTTCACTTCCATGTTCAGCTCTAGGTTACTCCCCACCACCAAGGTCTTCAAGCTAGGTGTTGGGGAAGAGGGCAGGAGATGATTCTGTGACTGGGGCTAGAAATGGTCTGGGGATAAAACACAGACTGGGGAGGTGGGGAAACATGAGGGGTAGGGTGTCTGGTTTCTGAGCACAGGATAGGAGTGTTAGGGATAGCCAAGCAGGAGCTGTAGATTCCAGGAGGTAGGGCTGGGAGACCAGGGCAGGTCTATTGAGGTGGGAGCTCACCCTGAGAAACCAAAGGAGATGCCCAGGTCATCTTGGCAGACGTGGTCAGCTCCACAGTTCTTCTCAAAGGGGAGCTGAGAGGGAAGGCAAAGCAGGGTTTTCTGCAAGGTCTGGAATCCACGCCTCCACTCCCTCCTGCAGAGCCCAACCCCAGGACTCACAGAGGCCGTGTAGTATCTGGGGACATCCATAGCCAGCATAGGCTGGAGGTCTCCAAAGGAAGAGATAGGGTTGCCCACCAGGGATAAATTGAGACGCAAGGCGATGGGGGTCACCGAGTCTTCCACACAAGCCTTTGAAGAGACAGACATTGAAGAGAGCAGGTGGCTAAGGAAGGTGGCCTCACAATCACTAGCTGCGTCCTGTCTCCTCATCTGGGTAAAATGGGGTCACAATGATACCTACCTGTACTCGTTAAACACTTATCACTGATCCTGCCATGAGAACCTCTGCTGTGGTTGTCTTCTGCCTCAGCTCCCATTTCCCCAGCCTCACACAGGCTCACTCCATTCAGGGTCTTCTCAAACTTCACCTGCTCCCGGAGGTCTCTGGACACCCTCCACTTCTCCCCTTGGCTTTGTCTTTCTTCCCAGCTTTCATCACTACCTGATGCCTCTCCTCTAGAAACTTGATTGTTTTTGCCATCTCTCCAGCACTCCCCCTGGGCATGCACTGTTTTGTTGTCTGCTGTATCCCTGGCGCCCAGGACAGGGTCTGTCTCAAAGGAACAACTCCATACAAGAATCCCAGCCCACTGCCCCATAGCTCTCTGAAGCAGCCATGCTCTTTCCTGAAATCCAGCTGTGTGGTTTCTGGCAGTTGCAGCCAACCCATCCATCCCTTTATTCACTCACTTGCCAATGCACTCACTCAGTTGGCTAACAAATGTTAAGCCCCTCCTGCACACAAGGTGCCGTGTTGGTGCTGAGCCAGTACCAGGACCAGACACACCTGTCCTTTCCCCACCCAGCCCACTGCCAGCCTCAGAATCGCCCCCATCCCCAGGTCTCCCCAGACCCCCTCACCGGAAGGAGCAACTTCACATCCTCACAATGCTTTCCCAGCCCAAGAACTCTGATACGAGTGAGACTCCGACTGCTTGTCTCCTTGAAAATGGCACGGGGACTCAGACGGCCAGGGTCCAGGGTCAAGTCAAAGGTCACAGAGCTTTGGAGGTCACCTATAGGGGAAAGTAGGAAATGAGGAGGGCTGAGAGAACCAGGAACTGCCCAGGTGAGTAGAATGGCAGGGCTGGAGACAGGAGTCCTGAGCTGGAGAACAGCAGGGATCAGGTTGTCCTGGGCCAGAAAGGAGGACTCACCCAGCCGGGTCTTGGGGCTTTCATAAACATGAAGGCAGACATTGGCATCACCCAGTTCCTGGACAGAGGATGTGTGCTCCTGACACTCATACACAGACCTAGCAATCTCTGCAGGTGTTACGATGATGTTCACCCACACCCTCAGCACAGGTCTGGTCCTGTGGGCAGAATGAAGAGCTGAGGACTAGCCCTTGGTCTCTCAGAAGGGCAACCTGGGATTGGAGTGTGGAGCCTGGTGTCCTAGGTAGACCTCAGGACCATCTGGAGAGTGTCCAGACAAGGGGGTTCTCACCTGAGCAGCAGTGCACGCCCCTGGGCCCCCACGGCCAGGTCCACAAGTCCGTCCAGGGTGAGATCTTGACCGCCACTCAGGGACTGTCCAAAATGCTGGAGTCTGGGGGAGAACTGGGACCCCGTGATCCTCTGGACAGAGAGGAAAAGGCAAGCCAGTTTGTGAGGGGTGAGAGGAACAGGTTGGAGGTCAGCAACAAGAGGAATGGGGAGACTGAAGGGGCGAGGCGAGTGGTGAAAAGAGATCACCAAGAAAAGTGCCTGAAAAAGAGGAAGTGGGGTGGGGCAATGAGGATGAGAGAAAGAAAAAGATTCCTAAGACATAATAGAAGCTGTGGAGATGGAAAGACTGGCCTGGTGGCCTGAGTTTCATTTTTTCATTCATCTAGTGTCAGGGTCCAATTCTGGTTCTTCCACTTACAAGCCACCAGGGAGGCCTTGAGCCTGGGATTCAGTCTTTCTGGGATCATTTTCCTCACCTTTCACATGAGGATAATAATACCTCAGAATTCAGCTGTTAGTAGCAAATGAATGAATTCCTATAGTTCTTAGAACAGCACCTGCAATGTGGTCACAGTTAAGTACTGATGATGATGACTATCAGGGCTGAAAGGGACCTCAGAGCCCGTCCAGTCCCACCTTCCTCTTCTCAGACAATGCCAAAGCCACACAGCCTTTAAAGGGCCAACTCCAGACCTGAAATCGGATCCTCCAACCTCATGCCCAAGGCCCCTTTTTGCTCCCTGTGTCTTTAGAGGGCAAGGATAAATCAATTGGGATGGGGGTGGCTACTCTCACAAACAGACTCTGTGCTCCAGGCCTCTTCCTCCCCTGTGGGTCCCTTTTATTTCCATCACTCCTGGAATGAGCAGTCCTCCCTTGGAAGACATGCCCTATAAATCTTTGGGCACTGTTGGGACTGGCAGGCATTAAGAGCAGTAATAATAAAATAAAACAAAAGTTATCAATTCCCAAGGGAGTATAGAGAGGAAAAGGGGTATAGAAACAGCACAGACACAGTCAAATGGCTTTGCCCTCAGGAAAACTAATTTCTCCACCATATCCTCACGTTGGTGCATGGGAGCCTGGGCAACAAGGCAAGACTTTCCCAGTCAAGTGTGCGGTGTCATATGGCTTGTAGTACAGAAGGAAAACCAGGATTGGCCGTGGATCTGGAAAGACTACCTCTTGGAATCAGGACCCGTGGGTATGTACAACCCAGGAGCTAATAGCAATCAAGGGTCTACAGAGATGTGCCTCTTAGCCAGTGATTCTCATGATGCTCAACAAAGCCTTTCACCCTCTTCCTATAGTTCCAAGTTCTTGAAAACTGCATTCAGGTGTTAAACGGTATCAGCAGTAGTTGATTATGATGTAACAGCTATTATGGCCAGGCATATATGCATATGCATGCTATGTATGTACTATATGTACATATATAAAGTAACTCGTTTAATCCTCCCAGCAGAAAGCCAATAAGGTTTATTATTACCATCATTGTACAGGTGTGCAAACTCAGCACAGACAGTTGACTAATGACCAAGATCACAGAGCTGGGAAGCGACAGAACTTCAGGCATCTCCTCTGCCTTTTTTCCTAATAACTTTCTGAGATATTATTCACATACTGTATGATTTACTCATTTAAAGTATACACCTCACTGTTGTTCAGGACTTCACAGAGTTGTGCAGCCATCGACAAAGCAATTTGAGAACACTTCCATCACCCCAAAAAAGGAACCTCCTTCTCTTTAGCAGTCACGCCTTTGCCCTTCATTCCCCTCCACCCCCACCCTCTGACAACCACTAATCTACTTCCTGTCTCTATGGATTGGCCAGCCTGCAGATCTAGTACAAGTGGAGTCTTACCATAAGTGGTCTTTCATGCCTGGCTTCTTTCACTCAGCATAATGTTTTCAAGTTTTATCTGTATTGTAGCATGTGTCAACTTTTATGTTGGAGAATATTCCATTGTGTGGCTGTGCCACATTTGATCTCTCTGTTCATTAGTAGATGGATATTTGTGTGGCTTCCACCTTTTGGTGTTTATGAATAGCGCTATTAGGACATCTGGTGTGTAACCTTTTGTGTAAACATATGTTTTCAGTTCCCTTGGGCAGAATCACCGGGTCATACAGTAACTCCAACATCTAACCTTTGGAGGACTGTTTTCCAAAGCAGCTGTGCCATCTCACCTTCCCACTAGCAGTATATGAGGGCTCCAAATGCTCCACATCTCCACCTTGTTATTATCTGTCTTTGGTATTCTAGCCATCCTGGTGGGTGTGAAGCAGCATCTCACTGTGGTTTCAGTTTGCTGATGACTGACGACTAATGATGTTCCACGTCTTTTCATGTGCATATTGGTCCTTTGTAGATCATCTTTGGAGAAATGCCTACTCAGATCCTTTGTCTGTGTTTGAATCGGGGCTTCCTTGACTTCTGCCAAGGGAAGCAGCCCTCTCTTCTCAGGGAACCCTGCCCCACTGGGTGAAGGCTCCTGCCTAGATGGGCATTTGGCAGGGTTACTGATGGCAGCAGGGAATGGAGTCATGCAGCATCTGGGGAGATGCAGGGGTGAGTGGACAGGCAGGCTGAGCAACCAGACCTAAACTGATAGGCAACAGGGAGCCACCAAGAGTCTGGGCCAGTGGGTTAGAAGTGGGAAGACTGGAGCCTCTCATCACCATTCTGATCCACTACAAACTTTGGACAAGTCAAGGCACTTATCTTCTCTGGCCCCAGGTTTCATCTCTAAAATACGTTTGCTAATATCTGGCCTGTGTGCCTTGTAAAGCCACTAGGGGATTAAAAGCCCTGGGTGGAGAACCTACTCAAGTATCAAGTCTCTATACAAAGCAGAGAATGTACCAGTCAAAACTTCCGTTTCTAGAATCCCATAGATTTTGTTTGCTGTCTCTAAGATGCCCAGTGGCGGGCAAAGGAGGTAAGATGTGATAACAGAGAATTTTCTAGGTGGCAGTGTGGAAGAGCAGGAGAAGCAAGGAGAAGGTGGCGGTAGTGATGGAGTCTGCAATGGGGCCTCACCTGGCTGTGGGAGGGGCTGATGCCCAGTCCTGAGGTCCCATGAAACAGGTAGACAGCACCCTGGTTCTCCTGTTCTCCCGGGGCCCCGATGGCCACATCCATCAGCCTGTCCCCATTCACGTCCCCCAGCACAGTCAGGGCTGCCCCGAAGCGTCCCCAGGGGTGGCCCTGCTCCCCACGGAGAATGACCTCACACTGCCACCTAGCTCTCTGTAGAACAAAACCAATGCAACCCCTCAACCTGGGCAACCCCTCCACCCCACACCCAGCCCCACCCAGCCCAGGTCTGGTCATCAGCCACTCACCCCCCTGGGCAAGGGGCACACAGACACCTGCCCCCCCCAGGTCAGCTCGTAGTAATGGGGAGCCCCGATGAGGACCAAGTCGGAGTTGCCATCTCTGTCCACGTCCACTGAGCACAGGGAGGCCCCAAAGTAGGAGCCAATCTGGAAGGCAGAGACTGAAGTCACCCTGTCTGCCCCCACCAGAGGGGCTCCCCTCTGGGCCAAGTTCTGCCTCTCCCCAGGCACAAGCCCCAAACCCCTTCATCTCCTCCCTCTCCACCCCTGGAGACCCTGCCACCCTCACATTCCTCCACACCCAACCTGGGTCCCTGTGACTTCAGCCTTCGGCTTCCACTGCCCGGACACCTGTGTAAAGATGTCGACCTTCCCGGTGTGCTGATGGCGTGGGGCCCCCAGGACCAAGCTCTGCACCCCCTTCCAAAGGGCCAGCTCAGTGGAGTAACCTGAAGGGGCCAGACCTCAGCACAAAGGCTTGCCTGCTGCTGCCCCCCAAGCTGCCCCTCCCAGGCGGCTCATGTCCCATCTGTCCTCCCAACCAAAGCCTTTTCTCACCCAGGTAAGAGTCCCTCATGTCCACATTCTCCTGAGACATGTTGATGAATGTGGGGCTCACATTTGGGCGGTACACAAAGGCACCTCCAGACCAGCTGAAGCTCCCCACGGCCCCCAGAACTGGTCCATCCTGTGGAGAAAGGATTCTGGGGCTGAGCAGGGGAAGCGAGAAGAGACAGCAGTTTCAAAGCAATCCCTGGCACCAACTGCACTCAGTCATATGACATCCACCTGCACTTTCCTTCCCCCCTGCTTCCCTCATCAGTGGCCTTGAAAGGACCACACTCACGGGTGTAAACACAGCACTGAAGCCCTCCTGGGACATCTCCAATTCGAAGGTACTACTGCTTGTTGTCTGTGTACCTAGGGGAAGCCATGACTTGGGTTACAGGGGGGAAGACAGGCTTTGCCAGGTCTTAGGACACCTTAGCTTTAAGAGGATCTAATGTTATTAGACTAATACCCAAAGGGAGGGGTTAGTGCCCATGACCTGGAGATCCAAGTTTCAAAAAGAAAAGGCACTTACCGAAAGAGGATGTCTGAAGTGAATAGTTCCATCTCTGACTTACCCTCAATGGCAAAGATCTTCTCTTTTAGTTTGTTTTGAATGTCTCTCAAAGCATCAAAGTTCTCCACTTTAAATATATAATCATTGGAGGGCCTTGATGCAATGTCGTTTAATTCTTTCCAGGAATGTTGCTTTTGAAACGCCGATCCCACCTGTCCCCAACAAAACCTATTCAATGAAAATAATCACAAATCTAATGTGCCTACCACTTTGTGGGTACTGATGTCCTCCAATAACACTGCAAGGTCAATATTATTAGACCCAATGTACAGGAGAGAAAAATGAGCTCAGAAAACAGCAAGAAGTTTAGGGAAAGGAACCAGGGTTCCCAGGCTAAAACAGTTTTCATTTTGAATGTAGGAGAAGCTGAGAGAGTGGGGGGGGGAAGTGGGGGCAGCTCGGGGGTTTCTGTCCTTGAAAGGGAAGTTGCTTAAGAGGAAGCTGTGGGAGGGCATCGCCACATCCTACCCCAACTGCATAGCGAATGATGCCTGCTGCCTCAGCCATAGGGATGACATTCTTATAACCCAGGGGGTCTCCTTCTTTCTGCCCATCAGTGATCACAATGAGGATCTTGGAGGCATCCTTCCGGGCCCCACTTGGGGCACTGAATAGTTCATTTCTGTCAGGGAAGAAGAAGGTCCAGAGGCCACTGAACAGAGGTGCTGCCAGCCCCTGATGCCTTTGTGAGCATGAAGAGGTGACCCTTCCTCTGGAAGGCCCTGGTCCTGCTAAGAGGCTCCCAGCTTGGTGAGGAGCCCACAGGTGGAAAATCAGTCCCATCTGTCCCTTTTTCATGGAGACAGATGAGACACAGAGGAAAACCAGACACTGTCGGGAAGGAACTGGAAGAAGTCAGCACTCACATGACCATCCTGATGGCTGAGGCTGTGTGCGTGGACCCTCTCAACTGATGCACAGAATTCAACAGGCTTAGTGGGTCTGAGGTGTACATGAAGTCTTTGAAAGTGAAGTGAATCTGGAACTTGTTGGAGAACTGCATCAGGGAGAACTAGGAGAAGCAGATGGGGCTGACACCAAGGCCACTCCACTGGAACCCCAAGCATACCTCCTGCAAGCCTCCCCAGAGGTTCCTTCACCCTCCTGTTCCCTGCTTCCAGGGCACACCTGGGTGCTGGGTCTCTGGAATTGGCTCATCACAGCCTTCACGAAGCTCAGCATCTTGACAAAATCTCTGGAAGAAATGCTGCCTGAGCCATCAATCAGAAAGACGATGTCCTGCTCCTGCCTTGGACACTCTGCAGAATGAGGTAGCACCAGTCCTTTGAGGGACACTCCCAGAGCCCAGGACCTCAGCCTCCTAATGACAAGAACTCACCCCTTTCTAACCCCTGCCCAAAACATGGTTCCTAAGTTTCCTAAAGTCTCTAAAGAGGAAACTAAAGATGTCTCTAAAGTCTCTAAAGATGCATCTGTGATTCACCTGCTCACACCTGCACAGACAGTCTGGTTGATAAAAAAGTGAAAGTTCCTCCAATCCGGATTGTAAGAAGCTGCTTCCCCACTTCTATCTCAGTGGTCTATACCTCTCCCCATGGGCTCCCCCACTCCTCTTCCCACAATATCTCCACTCTGTTCCAGCCCCTGGCTGGGGTCTCTCCTCATTGGTTAGTGCTGAACTGAACTTTTGTTAATTTTTTTAAATTCAGTCTCCATAGGACTGTCAAAAAATTGCCAGTGCTGCCCTGGCTGGTGTTTCTCAGTGGATTGAATGCTGGGTTACAACCCAAAAAGTCGCCGGTTCAAATCCCTATCAGGGCTCATGCCTGGGTTGCTGGTCAAGTTCCCACTTAGGGGTGTGTTAAATTAACATTTCTTTCCCTCTATTTCTCCCTCCCCTCTCTCTAAAAATAAATATTAAAAAAACCTTAAAAAATTTAATTGTCCGTGCTGACTATATTTCAAGTTATCATGGTGAGGTATTGGGAAAAGTTTTCAATTAGCAATAATTGAGCCTTGAATAAACCTCATTGGCTATGATACTGCCACTGTGCAAAACTTGGTTAAGTAATTTTAACATTACTCCTCACGATAGCCACACACTAGTCCCATTCTGTTCTCAGCTTAAATACAGGATCCCACTCCCCTCCTAGGTGAATACAGAATCTGTCCTCAGAAGACAAGCTCTCCCAGCTTTCATCTCCCTTTCTGCCCCAGAGGCTTGCCAGCAGAGAGAGTGGTGATTCTGATGTTCTCAAGAAAGCCCAAGAGCATGTGGATAAAGTTTACAACCTTGAAGGTGTTAAATGGGGCACTTCATTCAGTGGCCAGATGTCATTTCCCCAAGGGCCTGAGTGTGAATGTGAAACCAGGGAGGGGCCTCAGTCTGCTGTGGGCCAGGTCTGAAGAACTCACTGTTCCACTACCTCATCTTCCATTTCCATGAGCACTGGGGAAGCCAGGCCCTGTGACTCAACCTGCATGTGTGTATACATGTGAAACATACACATTCACACTGCCTACCCTCATCACCCTTTCCCAGGTTGCTGCACAAACTAATTTTCACCCAGCATACACTAGGTGAAAATAAATTCCCTTCTCTCTAAAAATAATAGCAGTTGGCATTAACTGAGCCCTCACCACATGGCAGGCATTGTGCTAACCCCTGGCCATAGAACATCTAATGTTACTCTCAGTATTGAATGTGTTATTATACCCATCTGAGATGTGAAGGAACTGAGGCTCAGGGAGGGTAAGGGCAGAGGAAAGGTCTCACAGTGAAACAGTAAAGCAGGCCATGACTCCCCAGCCTGTGTTCGAACCACTCCATAAGAGTGTCTCTGGCCCCACTGTATTCCCAGTCAGATGTGTGTGGGCTTCTCTAAAGACCCAGTAGCCCGAACACTCACCCTGCAGGGAAGCTGGGAGCCTCTGGGCCTTCCAGGAAGGGAAGGCCAACAGAAAGCAGGACCCGGTCAAGTACATATTCTCCTTGCATGCATGGTGCACAGTGGGGCCACAGGCCTGGGAACAGAGAGGGAGGGGATGTCCTAGTGGGAGGGGATGCCCCTGCCTCTGTTCCACCTACCCCATTCCAGCACTTCCACCTTCCACAAGAGCCCCAGCTCCAGCAGTCCCAAGTCCCCACTTCTTCCCCCGGGAAGCTCCTGTGACCCAGGGCAACTCACCAGCAGCTGAGAGGGGTTGGTGGCAGCTGTCAGGGATAAGCCCAGGGACATGTTCACAGCTTCTAGGGGGACTAAAGGGACATATATGTGCATGGTCACCCTCAGAACAGAGGAGGCTGTGTATTATCTGGGCAGAGTTCAGCTCATCCTTGGGAGACAAGGAGGTCTGGCACACAAACGGGGCTTTCAAGTCTTGATGGATTTACTAGGGGAACAAGGGTGCAATGGGTGGGGAGGCCTGCAGGGGTTCAGGAAGCCTGTCTGAGGGTAAGTATTTACAGACAGAGCTGAAGCTAGAAAATGGGTCCCTTGTGCCCCCCAACAGACCCCGGAGAGCATGGGAGTCTGGAGCTTGGTCTCAGGGAGGAGCAGTGACTCACCCTCCAGGTCGATGGGCTGACAGGTAGCTGTGCTATAGGCACACTGGTAGAGGCCTCCTGTTTGGTTGATGGCCTTTATTTCTTGGGGGGCTCCAACTATCACCCTGGGGAGAGACAAAGAACACTGCAGTTAAGAGTGCAGACACTACAAAGACAAATACCATATGATTTTACTTATATATGGAATCTAATGAACACAACAAACAAACAAAACAGAAACAGACTCAGATAAAATGAACATAGGGTTGCCAGATGAGAGGGAGATGAGAGAGTTGGCTGAAAAAGGTAAAGAGATTGAGAAGTACAAATTGGTAGTTATGGAATAACCATAGTGATGTTAAGTACAGCATAGAGAATACAGTCAATAATATTGTAAGGTGCTAGGTAAGTACTAGAATTATCAGGGGGATCACTTCATAAATTATATAATTGTCTAACCACTATGCTGTGGACACTACAGCCAGACTGCCACTCCAGCAAATTTGCTTCATCTTCCTACTCTGTTTCCTCATCTGTCAAGTGGAGATTAATAACAACTTAAGTTCTGCATGGGAGGGGTTTTTGTCTGTTTTATTCTCTGGAATATGTGTGGCTTCTGAGACATACAGTATGTGCTCAAAAATTGTTGAATTGAGCACTAAATCAATATCCACATAAAGTATGGCACAGTGGATGGCACCTAGTAAATGCTCAATAAATGTTAGCTGTGATCATTTAGATGGTAAGACAGCTTTTGCTTTCAGTTCGATGCTTCATAACCTTGGAGGAATTGCCCCATCAGACAGAAAGAAAAGCTTATGAATAACAGGGGGGAGGAACAGAACCCTGCACAGGGAGAGAGTTGATGAGAGCCAAAGGTCAGTAACCACTTGGTCCTCACCAGGAGTTGGCATACTGGACCACAGTGTGTCCAAACCCAGCACTGTCCATGAGGAAGGTTGTTGGTGTGTCCGTGTCCAAGTTGAAGCAGAGAGAGGAAGCCACTACTGGAGAAGAGGGTGAGGAGAGAAGTTTTGGAAAAGGGTCTTCCTTCTGCTCCATCTCCCTGGGCTCAACCCCTAGTCCCCCCTGCAGGCCCAGTGTCACAATGTTTCCAGGTCTTCTGGACTCCCAGGCTTGGACCTCCTTCAGCTTTGTTCTCTCTTTCAGATGGTCCAGAGACAGCTCTTCACCCAATGGCCTACTAGCAAGTTTCAATTTTCCATTTCTGCCAAGCAACACCTCAGTTCTAAAGCCCCTACCCCACCCTCACCCTTGGGCTCCTAAGAGGGAGAATCCAGGAAAACTTGGGGCCAAAGGGGCACTGTGGACAGAGCACAAAGTTAACTTGTTTTGCCTACTCGGGAAATCTCTGGATTGTCCAGGAAACTGGCCTCTCTCGCAGAATCTCGTAAACTCCCTTCAAATTCATTCCTCAACCTTCTCTCCCTCCACAAACTCCAAATCTCAAACTCTAGATCCCTCTTCTAATGTCTGAATCCAAAATATGTGCATTCTCAGCTCTCTCCTTGCCTGGACTCTAATCCCTTCATCCCCTTTCACTGGAGCCCCCAGCTTACCCATCAACAGAAGAAGGGATATCCTGGTCCTGATCATGACTGGGAGGTCAGGCATGGGCTTCCAAAGCCCCTGAGCTTTGGGGGTTGGCTGGATGTTCTAAGATGCCAAGGGAACAAGTGAGCAGAGATGTGGTCAAGAGGCTGTTGTTAGACAGGGAAGTTGTCAGAATGACTCAGAAGTGGAGGGTGGAGAATATGACTAAAATATGCAGAGAAAGGTGCCGAGGCAGCCACACTCTCACCCAGGAGTCTTTCTGACCAGAGATGACTTGACTTGCCTCTTGGCTCAACAATCTAGACTTGTGTGGATGCCAGTCCTTGCCCTGCCTCACCTCTTCCAATTTTCCTTGTTGTACTGGCTGAAGGTTCCCCTGACCTCAAGAGAGGGAAGGGGAGAAGTCAGAGTGGGCTTAGGGCTCTAATAGAGACTCTGATGGGAACCCTCCACTTCTGGCCTGGAAACCTCAGGGCCAAGGGGTCTTCAAGCATCTGGGCCCTTGGAGGAATACAGAGTGGGTATTCACTCATTTATTCATCAAGCCCAATGTTGGGCCAATTTTTCACACCCTCTCTCTGCAAAGGAAACACAAACCACAAGGCCCAGCTGTGGGGTCAGTGGAGAAGGCAAATGTGCAAATAGCATGAGTTTGCTATAAGGAGAAACATATTGGCCACAGAGAACATTACCCAAGCTGAGAGGGGTGGTTTAGGCAAGGCATCCTCGAGGAGGTCACACCCGAGCTGAATCTTGAAGGCACCTGACTACAGGGCTCCCTACAGGGGAGCATATTTCAGAAGGAATGGGCAAATGTGGAAGAAGCATGATACAGGAGAAACTTTGGGGAAATCTGAGATGAAAACCAGAGAGTGGGAGGTGGGAAGTAGCAAGACATGAGGCTAGCGTCATGGGGGAGGAAAAGAAGTGGAAGCTGGCCCTAGGCCTGGAAACCCTTTTTAAGGCACGCAATTTTATTCTGAAGATAGAGGAAAGTATTGTCCTTCAAATGTATACTTTAGGAAGCTAGAAAGAGGGGCTGATGAGGAGGGAGATGACGGGGACCTGTGAAGTGAGCTAGTGGCCATGGCAATGGACCAGAAGGTGACTGGTCACTGAGGGCAGGACAGCAGTGCCAGTCCCTGAGCTACAAAGCACCAGAGAAGGGGAAGGGAGGTGTTTTAGACCAACTTTGGTTTTGAGAAAACTAAAATGTAGTATTTAAGAGCTTAGATTCTTTCAACCTCTCTATGCCTCAGTTTGATCGTTTGCAAAACTGGGGTGATAATAAAAGTATGTACCTTCTATTGTTGCTGGGAAGGTTGAGTCAGTAAGTGTGAAATATTTAGAAGAGTGTATAAGAGCTTTAATTCCTGGCTGTTATCATTGCTGTGTTGTGATGAGTTTTGCATTAGGTAAGAGAAGCCTGAAGGGCTCTGGGAGGCAATTGGGTGTGTGGGGCTCGATCTCAGGAGACAAGTCTGGGTTAGGGATGAGTTTTGGAACCATCAGCAAAAGTGCTGGATGAGATCCTGGTGGGAGTGTGAAGAAGGAGGAGAAAGAACTGCCTTGGTGCGTCCTAGGAAAATGTCGATGTTGGTAGCAGAGCAGGCATCTATGGAAATTAAGGAGGAAGGAGTCTGTGAACAGAGAGAAGCCCAGGAGCAAGAAGGGCATCTTGGAAGGGGAGGCTAGAGAGAGAAGTGGGAGCAGTGTCACAGGTCACCAGACATCAAGTGAAGTCATAAATAAGAAAGTCCCTAGATCTGGCATCAGAGGCTGTTGGTGGCCCTGGCTGTGCTAGCATGGTGGGGGTTGGAGGCTTATGGTCCTGGCATGAGGAGGGTGGGCAACACTATTGCCTAGAGACAAGCAGCCCTGAATACCTCAGACACCATGTGACTGAGAAAGCCCCTGAAATACTTAGAGGTAAAGAAGCTTTGAAAGAGAAAGAAAGGTGAGGTGGGGCTGCATAAATTCTAAGAAGGAAATGGTGACAGAAAACCCCAATAAGACAAAAAAAGAAGTGGCTCAGACTCTGGAGAGGATAAACAATAAACCAGGAATGACTCAAGCTGTTGCAAAACCCCACCTGTGCTGCTTTAGAACAGCTGTGGGGTTTCATTGCCTGCCAACAAGAAGCATGACTCCTAATGCAAGAGTTTGGTGAAAAAGGAAAGGGCTGTTATTTTCAGGTTATACAGATTCAGAATAAAGGTGAATTGCTGCCACTAAGTCCCACTTCCTTTAAAATACCCCCCAAACAAATAATCCTGCCCCTCTTTGCCAACCCAGGCCAGTTTCAGAATATGCCCATCAGAGTTACCATCTTTCAGAAAAATGGAAGTCCACAGCTCAGCATTCCAGGCATCTCCCACTAATATGTGCTTGGTTGCCTAACCCACAATTTTCAGTTCCACCAGCTCTACTGCTGTGTTCTCCAGGAAGGTTTCCCGATGGGTCTCCTCTTTCTTACTCCAGCTCTTAATCCAAAACTACGTGGCCTCTTCTTACACACCAGACCTCATGGCCAAATCCCCCTACTCCATGGCTCCTTACTTATGGCTGCCACTCACTATTGCCCATGTCCAATGGGGTGGCCCTTCTACCCCCTTTCAAACCACATGGCTGCTACTTTCATGTCTGCCTGCCCTTGTTTTAATGCTGACCCATGCCCTGGCTGGTGTAGCTCAGTGGATTAAGCACGGGCCTGCGAACCAGACAATCACGGTTCGATTCCCAGTCAGGGCACATACCTGGGTTGCAGACCAGTTCCCTCCAGGCCAGTTCCCAGCAGGGGGTGCATGAAAGGCAACCATACATTGATGTTCCTCTCCCTCTCTCCTTCCCTTCCCCTCTAGAGATAAATAAATAAAATCTAAAAAAAAAATGCTGACCCCAAACTTCCTATGTGACCTCATATCTGGTCCTTCCTATAATGAGCTACTTTTGTCAGTTCCCCTATATCTTTTACCTTCCTTTAGCTGACTATGTCACAAGTCACCAAATGCTCTGAAAGTTATGTAAACCTTTTGTCTGAGGTGCCAGCACAGCTATCAACTAGTTACTGTAATGCAAGTTACCTTTTTTAAAATATATTTTATTGATTATGCCTTTACAGTTGTCCTATTCCCCCCCATTCATTCCCCTCCACCCTGCACACCCCTCCTCCACCATACCCCCCTTTTGTTTATGTCCATGTGTCACAAGTTCTTTAGATTCTATATTTCCCATACTATTCTAGCCCTCTCCCCTGTCTATTTTCTACCTACCATCTATGCTACTTATTCTCTGTACCTTCTTCCTCCTTCTCCTCTTCCCACTCCCCTGTTGCTAACCCTCCATGTAATCTCCATTTCTGAGGCTCCACTCCTGATCTAGCTGTCCTCTTAGTTTGCTTTTGTTTTAGGAGTGGCTGTTAATAACTGTGAGTTTGCTGTCCTTTCACTGTTCATCTTTTTTATCTTCTTTTTCTTAGATAAGTCCCTTTAACATTCATATAATAAAGGGTTGGTGATGATGAACTCCTTGAATTTGACCTTATCTGAGAAGCACTTTATCTGCCCTTCCATTCTAAATGAAAGCTTTGCTGGATAAAATAATCTTGGATGTAGGTCCTTGCCTTTCATGAGTTGGAATATTTTTTTCCAGCCCCTTCTTGCCTGCAAGGTTTCCTTTGAAAAATTAGCTGACAGTCTTATGGGAACTCCTTTGTAGGTGACTGTCCTCTTATCTCTTGCTGCTTCTAGGATTCTCTCCTTCATTTTAATCTTGGCTAATATAATTATGATGTGCCTTGTGTGTTCCTCCTTGGGTCCAACTTCTTTGGGACTCTCTGAGCTTCCTGGACTTCCTGGAAGTACATTTTCTTTGTCAGATTGGGGAAGTTCTCCTTTATTATTTGTTCAAATAAGTTTTCCACTTGTTGCTCTTCCTCTGCCCCTCTGGTACCCCTATAATTCAGATGTTGGAACATTTGAAGATGTCCTGAAGGTTCCTAAGCCTTTCCTCATTATTTTGAATTCTTGTTTCTTCATATTTTTCTGTTTAGTCATTTTTTCCCTCTTTCTGGTCCACTCCTTTGATTTGAGTCCCAGTTTCTTTTCCATTACAATTGGTTTCCTGTGCATTTCCATTCATTTCAATTAGTTTAGCCTTCATATGTTCTTCTAATTTGTGAGTATAATCAACCAGTTCTGTGAGCATCCTGATCACCAGTGTTTTGAACTGTGCCTCTGAAAGTTTGGCTATTTCTTCATTGCTTAGATTTATGGGCTCTGGGGCTTTGAGCTGTTCTTGAGCCATAGTGTTTTGGTCTGTTCACACCTGTTACATATGAGGGGCAGAGCCTTAGATGTTCACCAGGGCAGGGCCACCTAGTTCGCTGGGTTGTGACACTGTATGTGGGGGTGGGGTCAGAGAGGGGCAAGGGCATTTATTCCTCTTTCTCTCAGATTTCTGTCCTTTCTGCCACTTCCCACAAGCAAATTGGGCCCTTCTGGTGCTGGTTCCCAGGTGTGTGGGTTTGTGCACCCTCCAGGACCCTGTGTGTCTCTCCAATGAACTCTCTGTGAGTCTGGGAGCTTCTCCTGGCACCTCAACCCTGAAAGTCTTTCCAATTGATGCTTTCAGGCTCTAATTCCCGTCACTGGGGCCCTGGCTTGAGCAATCTGTCTCACTGCTCACTCCTTCACCTGGTTTATCTGTGCACAAATGTGTGACCGTGGTCAGCCAGCTGCCTTACGCCCTCATTGGTTCCACCTGTTGCCACCCCACGTCTGAGATCCGCCAACTGCTGCCTGCACTCCTGTGCTCCTGAGCTCCTGGGTTGGTCCAGCTGATCTTTCCTGCTCCACCCAGATCAGCCGCTGACTCCGCCCCTCCTACCAGTCTGGATGAATGGTTCATTGTTGTCAGACTTCTGTACAGTGCAATTTTCTGTGTTTTGGCTGCATTTTTGTTACTAAAACTTTGTTGTCTTTAAACTTGGTTGTGCGAGGAGGCACAATGTTTCCACCTATGCCTCCATCTTGGCCGGACAATGCAAGTTATCTTAATCGCTGTATCATTCATTTCCCTTGTCCCCCATCCGTAGGCTGGGGGAATTTGCTTGGTCTCTATTTTCAGAGACCTCCCTGACTCTGCA